CGGGCGTTACAAGCTGTACGGCCCGGGCGGGGGCGGGGCCCCGGACAGAGTGGGCGGCGCAGGGGCGAAGCGAGGGGTTCGCACGGGGCGGGGGGAGACTCGCCCCCGGCCGGGGTGGGGCAAGGAGCGGGGGCGCTGGAGGGGTCAGGAGCAGCTGGGCCCCCCCCCGGCCGGGAGAGGACATGGCGGGGGTGTGACCCCCCCTGGGGCAGGTGACTGGCAGGGGCTGCTGTAGCCTCCGTTTTCACAGGGGTGTCGGGGGGGAGGGGGTCCTGGCCATTGCAGGCCAGGAAGCCCATTTCCGTCCCAGCCCGTCGGGTAGAAACCAGGGTAAAGAACAGTGTTTCGTCAGACAGGCCGTTTGTCAGGGGGGGGAGTGACCACGGCTTTTGTCAAGGGAAATCGCGCCTCGCCAATCTACTAGGGCTCCTCGAGGGAGCTGACAAGCATGTGGGTAAGGGTGATCCAGTCAAAATAGCGTATTTGGAGTTTCAGACGGACCCTGAGAAGTCCTCTCACCCATAGACTCTTAAGGGATGTAAGTAGCCATGGGATACCAGGGACGGTCCCTCTCATGGGTCAGTAACTGCTGGAAAGATAAGACATGAACAATAGGAATAAATGGTCAGTTTTTGCACTGGAGAGGTGTGAACCGCAGAGCCCCCCAAGGATCTGCCCTGGGACCTGTGCTGTTCAACATATTCATTAACTATCTGGAAAAGGGGGTGATCAGTGAAGTGGCAAAGTCTGTGAACAATCCAAAATTATTCAAGATAGTCGAGTCCAAAGTAGACTGTGAGGAGTTAGAGGGATCTCACAAAAGTGGGTGACGGGGCAACAAAATAGCAGATGAAATTCAACACTGATAAGTGCAAAGTAATGCACACTGGAAAAAATAATCCCATAGATACATATACAATGATGGGGTCTAAATGGGCTGTTACCACCCACGAACGAGAGCTTGGAGTCACTGTGGATAATTCTCCGTAAACTGCAGCTCAAGTAAAAAGGGTAATAGTATGTTAGCAACTGCTAGGCAAGAGAGAGAAGAAACCCGACAAATATCCTATTCCACTGTATAAATCCATGGGGCACCCATGCCTTGAACACTGTCCAGTTCTGGTCGTCCCATCTCAGACGGTCTCTACTGGCACTGGAACAGGCTCAGAGGAGGGTGGCGAAGATGATCAGGGTATGAAACAGCTTCCATCCAAGGGGAGATTAAAAAGATTAGAGCTGTTCAGCTTAAAAAAGAGACCACGGGGGGCATGTGATCTGTAAAATCAGTGGTGTGGAGAAAGTGTTATTTACCCTTCCCACAATACACAAGTCAGGGGTGACCCAGTTAAATTAATAGGCAGCAGGCTTAATACAAAGAAGAGGAAACACAAATAACCTGTGGAACTCATTGCCAGGGAATGTTGCAATGGCCAGAAATATAACTGAGTTCAAAGAAATGGCGTAAATTCATGGAGGATGGATCCATCAGTGGCCATTAGCCAAGCTGGTCAGGAACGCAACCCCATGCTGGGGCAGCCCTAAACCGCAGACGACTAGAAGTCGGCTGTGGAATACTCACTCCACGATTGCCCTGTTCTGTTCTCTCCCCATGAAGCTCTGGTGATCGGGAAGTAGGCTAGATGGACCATTGGTCTGACCCAGTCTCTCATGTTCACCTCAACTCCAGCTCCTGTTTGGTCAGTTAACAAGGCCGATGCAAACCAATGGGGAGCAGCTCCCCCCTCTGAAAGGGTATTTAGCCCCCCTCCCAAAGCAGGACTGTCTGAAAGGGGCTCTCAGGAGCAGCTGGGATTGAGCCGATAGCAGAGCTGGGCCCCTGGAAAGTTGATGCTCCCCGGCTGGGTGCAGTTAGGCGGGCTGGCTTCTGGCGATTAGGGCTCATGACTAGCCCTGCACCCGCTTTCCCCAGCTCCGATTCAGAGAACAGCGGGGGGAAGGAAGCAGAGGAGTCCGACAGGTTGGGTGTAGGGCAGGAGACACGACTCCTGGGGGTTGGGAAACCTCCAGACTCTGAGCTGGGGGAGAACAGCGAGGGCGGGACCCAGACATGTCCTGTGACGGGCCAGGTCTTGCAGCACAGACTGTAAATCCGCCGCCCCAGCCCGTGGGCTCCCAACGCTGGCAGAGCTGGAGTCCATGCGATTTGTTGGGCGGACGTGCCGAGGACTCGGGCAGTGACCGAGGAGGGAGAGGTGGGGAGGGCTGTGTAAAAGGAAAAGACGTGGGCCAGCCCCCTTTGTGGCTGTGTGGAGCACCAGAGCTGTGACTGCCGGGGAGTAATGGGGCCTTGGCTCACCGGCCCCCTGCAGGATTTCGGGCAGGGCCTGGCTAGCTTGTTCGGGCAGGCCAGCTCCCGCAGGAGGCAGAATAAAGTGCCTGTGGAATGGGAATGGTCTGACCAAGCGGGGCTGCGATGTCATGGGGGGGGGCTGCGATGTCATAGGGGGGGCTGCGATGTCATAGGGGAGGATGTGCCAGCAGTTCTTCCCTGCCGTCCCAGCGTGAGGGTGTCTGACTTGCCTAGCGCAGGTGTTTCTCCCCCTCCCCTGCGTGGGGGCAGCACCGGCGGCTCTCCGAGCTGGGCTTTAGGCTCTCCTCGGACTCGGAGGGTAAAGGTTGCAGGGGCTGCCGGGTTGGTTATTTATTGATGAGCCTGGGTTCGGCTCCCTCCTGGGCAGGCTGGTTACTGACTCGCCCTGGGGGGTCCCCACTAGCGATTGGACAGCATGTCCTGCTGCTTTCAGAACGTGGCCTGGAGCTGGAGCCCAGTCACACCTGTGTGAATTCGGGTCTCGCTGTAGCAATCCAGCGCTCCGCGGGGCTGGGCTGTCGCTCCGTGTGGGGGAGCAGCTGAACTCAGCACGCCAGGCTCACGCGCTGTTCCTGTGCTCTGGGTGGGGAGTTTCCTGGTTCTTCTTCTTTCTCTTTCACTTTCCCAGTTCCTGGGCCCAAAGGCAGGGCTCCCGGCTGCCCTCGCTGGCTCTGGGGATCTGGGTCCCTCTGCCCCAATGGGGTCGGGGGCTCAGGCTGACAAACCCCCAGCTGAGCGGGCCGGTGCGGCCCATGCCCATCGGGAGTAGTGGGCGGGTGAGTCCCGCCTGCCAAACACGCACCAGGTGCTGACCTCGTTTGGAACCTTGCACTGACTCATTGCATCTGGGGCGTAAACACTGTGTCCTACCCTAACTCTCGCTGGGGAGCCGAGTTCTGGACATTCATGTTCCTCCTTCCCTGCCACGCCTGGTGCTGCGAGACGTCAGAGTTCAGCGTCACCCCAGAGGTGGCTGCATTCTAGGCCACGGGAGAAGCGATTCCTCTGGCTGCATGCATGCACATAGGGCCGATGGGTTTCAGTGAGGTTACCCTGCTGGAAAGTGGGGGGCTGAGGGGATCACCCCGCTTTCTCGGAAGCAGGCGCTGGTAGCTCTTGCCCGTGGCAGGAGCTGGCTCTATTCCAGGCTGATGATTCCATCTTCACCATGTCTTGAAATGGCCCGAAGTCCCCAGCCCGGTTCTAGGACAGCCCTTGCCCTGGTGGCAGGAGAGCTGGGTACCCCACCCCCGGGGCAGCTCCAGAGCTCCTGCTTCTCCGTGCACACGCTGCCAAATCGGGACCTCTGGCTTGGCACCCATGCCTGTCTGGCCTGGGCATTCTGGGCCGGCCAGTGGAGCTGCACGTGGGCACGCCGAGGGGGAACCCCCGACAGAGTGAGGCAGTCGATGTTCTCCAGCCCCTGACCATCGCAGTGCCCCTCTGGCTGCACTGCGACCTGCGACCACAACGGGTGGTGGCTCGGGCTGAGGGTCCCACGGACCAGCAACTTCCCGGGCAGGAGAGCAGCTGTGCATCAGGTGCTGCCGGCAGCGACAGTCCTCGGGACCAGCCCCAGCAAAGGGGTCAGGCATCCTCTGCGTCCCTCTTGGGAGAGGGGTGGCCAGACCTAGCTCCGTGTCCTTGGGACGCTGGCTCCTGCTCCACGCCTCACTCTGGGCTTTCGCCTCGTTCAGCGTGCGGCAAGCCAGTGCCGCGGTACTCCCCCCTTTCACCCCTGCTGGGACGAGCCAGTGGGCTCCTGCAGTAACGCCCGCCAGAAAGACCTGCTCTCGCTGGGATTTGACTCCCTTGTGGCAGCCCCCAGCACCAGGCAAATGTGGGAGGGAGCCAGGTAGGGCCAGGGGGCAAGGAGGCTCCCTGCCCGGGTGGCTGAACCCAGCGCCGGTGCCAGCCCCGCCTGGGACGTCATTAGGGGCGCTAATGGAAGCCTTGAACAAGCCGCTCTCGCCTGCCAAGTGGAAATCCGCGGGGAGCCGGGCTCGCTGGGAGCCTGTGACTAGCCCTGCAACAGCCTGCAATAATTGCACCATCTAGACGCTGGGCCCAGAGCCCCGGGTGGGGGGATGAGACGCCAGAAGCTTCAGAGAGGTTTGCACAACAGCTGCACAGCTCCGGAGCCACGCCGAGAGAGCTGGGTGGGCGAGAGGAGGGCTAGCCTGGGGCGAAGCGAAGCCGTGTTTCTCTGTGGCTGGGGGAGGAGATCCTTGCCAGGCAGCTCCCTGGTGAGTCAGAAATCTTGTCCCAGCTGGCGTGGGGCTGGGGCGGTGAAAGGACCTGACCCCTCCAGGAGCAGGGGCTCAGAGCCAGGTCGTGTCACTCACTCTGTCCTGGTCTGCAATGACAGATGGCTGCAGACGTGGCATGGTCTGGTCCCCCTGGACCGTGCTGGGCACGCCACCGGCACTCAGTCTTAGCACAGCGGTGCCAGCGGGGGGGGGGGGGGGGGACGACAGTCCCTTCCCGAGAACGGTTCTTTTCCTTCTTTCTTCACTCCCAGGTCACTTCCTCCCAGTGGGTCGGATGGGGTGGGCGCCCCCTGCCAGCTGGGACAGAGCGGGATGCTCAGACCCCCAAGCGGGGGGGATCTCCAGGCAGGTCTCTGGAATGAGCTGTGGGAGCCGGGCATGAGGACCTGGGTCTGGCAGCGGAGTCCAGCCATGGTCCCCACTGACGTGCGCCCCCTGCCCTGTCTCTTCCAGCTGGTGCAGTTCCCCGAAGTGAAGGGTGCGTCCCACCCACCTGCCAGCGCCATGGACGTGTTCAACCGGAACATTGACTTCAACGCGCTCTTCAAGTTTTCCCACATGTGAGTGTGGGGTTCGCTCCACCGGGCCCTGATCCCCATGGGTAAAGAGAATGGGCCGGAGTGGGGTCTGTGGTTGGGGCCTGGGAGCTGGGATTCCTGGGTTCTGGTCCCGGCTCTGCCACATAACCGTTTTGCCTCAGATTCCCCATCCCGGGGCGTGGGCGCAGCACTTCGGGATCCTCCGCTGCGGCACCAGCTCAGCGTTTCTGCTCCATCCGGTGCCAGTGACGGTTCTCTCTCTGGCTCGGCCGTCAGTTGAGTGCGCCCATGTAGGGAGCCGTGGGCCGGGCCGGGGGGGGGGGGCGAGCTCTGAGACCTGGTGGTCACTGACTCGCTCCTTTCTGCCCCACAGCTCTGCCTCCACCCAGCAGCACCTGAAGAGGGTCTATGCCAGCTTTGCTCTCTGCATGTTTGTGGCAGCGACCGGAGCCTACATCAATGTGGTGACCCATCTGCTCCGGGTAAGGGCTATGCTCGGTGGCCACGTCGGTCCCCCGTGCTGGGACTGGATGGGCTTACGGGGGGCACCTCCTTTCCCCGGACTGAGTGCTGGCGAACGGGCACCGTGGGTACCTGTGCCCAGTCCTAATGCCTTCGCTGCAGCCATTGACCAGGGAGTGCTGCAGACGCCTGTCTAGTGCCCAGCACGTGAGGGCAGTGCCCTGCCAGCCCCGGCATCTTCTCCCCAGCCAGGCGGGCGTGTCGGTGCTGCCCCCGATTGCATTCAGTGGGTAGAGCAGCCCCGGGCTGGGATAAGAATGGGGGTGTCCCGTGTCTGCAGCCCCCTCCCTTTCCACGGGCTCCCCGCGACGGGCCTGGCTGGTGCTGCATCTGCCCCCGGCCCCCGCACCAGGCTCACCTTCTCGGGGTCTCTGTCCAACAGTTCAGCCTGCTCTCGGGCCTGGGCTCCCTGGCACTGCTGATCTGGCTGATGGCCACGCCCCACAGCAGGGAGACGGAGCAGAAGAGGCTGGGGATTCTGGCTGGCTTTGCCTTCCTGACGGGTACGTGTGGGGGGTGCATGCCCCTAAACCTCCTGGGCAAAGGGGCCCTTCTCCCCTTGCTGGCCCCTCCCCTGGGGAGCCTGTCCGTCGCTGAACTGCCCCTCGCCCTGGGGCGGAGGGCCTCTTCCTCCGGGGCTGGGCACACGGTGGACCCAGGCGTCCGGCCGTGGGGTTCCCTGCACTAAGCACTGGGCCCTTCTCACCTGCCTGAGGGAAGAAGCTCTGAGCCCGAGGAGGCCTCTGGCTGCTGATGATGGGGGGGCAGGGGCGGGGCTGCTGTCACTGATGTGTGTCACCTTGTCCTTGCAGGAGCCAACCTATGTCCTCTCCTGGAAATGTGCATCGTCATCAACCCCAGGTAGGCAGCGTGCGGCGCGGCGTGGCCGGGCCGGGCGCCCATGTCCGTCCTGGCTCTTCTCACCTCTTCTCCTTTCTTGCAGCATCATCCCCACCGCCTTTCTGGGCACCGCTGTGATCTTCAGCTGTTTCTCACTGAGCGCCCTCTACGCCAGGCGTCGCAGCTTCCTGTACCTGGGGGGTAAGAACGCCCCCCCCCCCCCCCGCTGCCCCTGCGTCCCCCACCCAGCCAGGGGGCTCACGCCTCTGTCTCTCTCGCAGGCTTCCTGCTCTCTGGCCTCTTCCTAATGCTGCTCTTCTCCTTGATCAACGTCTTCGTGGGGTCCACTTGGCTGTTCACAGTGAGTCCCGCCCCCCCCTCCCCTTGCCCCACAACCAGCGACAGCAGCCAGCAACGCTGGGGCCAGGCTATGGGAGCGGCAGCTGGAGCGGGTCCTGGAGGCAGGCCTGATCCCGCCTGGGCCACGTGGTGACAGAACCTGTCCGGAGCCATGCCTGGGCCCAGCTGCTGCTGTCTGGGCAGACAGGGCCCGATCCTGGGAAAGATGGGTGGGCCCCTTGCAGGATCAGGCCTTCATCACTCCCACTGCTGGGTCGTGTTTCCAGCCTGCTTTGCCTGGCACCCATCCCAAGGCTGGAGCTGGTTCGGGTAACTCGTGCCAGCTGTGGGGCAGCAACGTCGCCTCCTGCGTCTGCCTTATCCCCAGGGCAAGCGAGACCTGGGCCCTCCCAGCCAGACGCAGGGCAGCCGGGCGCTGGCAGGGGCCGGGCTCGGGTTCACCCATAGCCCAAGTCTCTGAGCTGGGGGGGGGGGAGAGTAACGGGGGCAGGAACGGCAGCCCCTGCTGCTCATGGGGGAACTGCACTGAACAGACACGGGGGGGCATCTCGGGGGCTCGTCCCTGACTCTCCCTCCTCCCCACCAGGCTAACCTGTACCTCGGGCTGATGGTCATGTGTGGGTTCGTCCTCTTCGACACCCAGCTCATCATTGAGAAGGCGGAGAGCGGGGACAAGGATTACATCTGGTGAGTGGGGGGGGGGGCAGAGTGGGGGCAGGGATTACAGCTGGTGAGTGGGGGGGGCAGGGATTATAGCTGGTGAGTGGGGGGGGGCAGAGTGGGGGGGGCAGGGATTACAGCTGGTGAGTGGGGGGGCAGAGTGGGGGGGGCAGGGATTACAGCGTGGTGAGTGGGGGGGGCAGAGTGGGGGGGGGCAGGGATTACAGCTGGTGAGTGGGGGGCAGGGATCACAGTTGGTGAGTGGGGGGGCAGAGTGGGGGGGCAGGGATTACAGCCGGTGAGGGGGGGGGCAGTGCAGCGCAGCAGAGAGCCCCGTGCCAGGCCGAGCCCCCCTGACTGTCTCTGCCCCTCCAGGCACTGTGTGGATCTCTTCCTGGATTTCATCAACATCTTTCGGGAGCTCATGATGCTGCTGGGGATGAACGAGGTGAGTCCCTGCCCGGCTCAGGCCGGGCCCTGTGACGAGGCCCCTGGACACTGGCCAAGTTCAGCCCAGCAGGCACATGGGCCAGGGGCTCTGCGGTGGGCAGCAGCCAGCACCCACCGGGCCTGCTGCGCAGGGCCAAGCGTCTGGCCCCATCCCTCCAGGAGCCCCCTGGAGACGAGCTAGGGCTTGGCGAGGGCACAGGAGTCTGGGCCTGTGTGCTGGGCCCCAGGCGGGCGGGTTCCCCTGGAGCCAAGGCCGCTTTGCCTGCCTGGAAGGGGCTGCCGAGCATCCGAGCCACCCGCAGGCCGGGGCACTGACGCGTCCTCTCCTCTTGCAGAACAAGAAGAAGAAGGAGAAGTGAAGCGACGCCAGGTGCCGGTTGGGTGGAGCCCCCATCCCCCTCATCCCCTGCCCCTGACCCATTAAAGGGGCTGCGCTCTGCCAGCCACAGGCAGCCACTCGCTTTCCTATTTTGTGGGTTGTTTTCTCTTGTTTGAGCTTTTTTTTTAATTAGAAACCAGCTGATTAGCAGCTCCTCCTCCTGGAGTTTGGTTTCCTCTTCCTGCCCCCCCCGCTTGCTCCTGGGGAGGCCTGGGCCAGCCACATGCAGGCACCCCCCGCCCCCCAGCTCCACGGGCTGAATCTTTCCAGGGGTTGGGGCCTTCCAAGGCGTCTCACCCCAGTAGTGAGAGCAGGGCCAGGGGCCTGGCTGTACAGCGCTCTGCCTAGAGCTGCCACCCCCAGATCCTAAGAGCCCAGACGCCTCCATCTTGCAGCAGCCCTGCTGCCCCCCCCCCCGGCCTTTCATTCAGCCACGGCCAGAGTGTCTGGCGGGTTCGCCCTGGTCCTAGCCCGCAGTGGGCCCCTGTTCCCGGGAGCTGCATGCCCAGCAACGTCTGGATCCGCTTTGGTTCCAGCTCCGGGGGATGGGGGGCTTTGGCTGGCCCTGCCAGGGGCTCCCCTCCCGTTTGTATAACGAGTCCCCCCCGGCTGTCCCTGCCCCAGCAGAGAGATTGCTCACCTCCCCCACGTGGGACCAGCCAGGCAGCAGGCCGAGGAGCTCCCCGGCTAGGCTCCGTCTGGAACACGGCCCGTCCGCGGGGCTCTCATGTAACATCCCCTGGTCTCCAGCGCCTCGCTCTGCAATGGACGGTCTCCCCTCTCCCTGTCACGAGGCTACTGATTCATCCCCCAGCTGGGAACCCCAGATGTTTTTCTGAAGCTCCATGTTTCTCCTTGGCTGACGGGCCCTTTTCCTCTCCCCTGAGGCCAAACTCCACCTCTGCTTGCTCGGGATAAAGGAGTCGCGCGCGCTCGCTCGCTCTAGAACCAGTGCCAAGAATCACAATGTAAGAAATAATCTACTTTTAAAGAGACGTCTAACAGGTTTTAATACCGTAACAAGTGTAATTATTTTCTGTTTCATCAGTTGACAGCCCTGGCTGCGTTATATAACTCATACTGTGAAGACAAAGGTGTTTTGATTCAGAAATATGAAATCTCCATAGTCTTACTTTGTACAAAAAAATAAATAAAAGTCCTCAAACTTTAACCTTTACAGCCAAGCTGTCTGCTCCTTCTTGGGGGTCGTCACACGCTTGCCTTGGGTGGTAGTGGCTCTAGGCCGCCCCAGGCCCCAAGACAGAGCTGGTCGGCCACACGTTCCAGGTGGGGGAGGCGGCGCAGTGCTGGGAACTGGACCCGTCACATCCCAGCACGGTGGCCGGAGCACAAGGCCGGCCTGATTCTGAGTAGCCAGGGGAATATTTAGGGCAGCCTAAGGTGCCTTAAGGATGGGTAGGGAAAGATGCGGAAGTGACGGCCCTAGAAACGCGCCCGCGCTGTGGAGAGCTCCTCCCGTGGGGTCTCTGCACGGGAGCAGTTGAGTCTCGGGAATAACCAGGGACGTGGCCATCGCGTGGCTAGGAAGAGTAGGGGGCTGCACTCGCTGCGCGCCCCACTGAGACAAGGGATGGGGAACCCAGGGCCAGCTCCAATCCCTCCCCATCTCGATGTTCTCAGGGGCTGATCTCTACAGCCAGCCCTCTGCCTGTCCCAGCTGCGGGTCAGGCCTGGGGATGATCCCAAGGCAGACAGTTGGCTGGAGGTCTGTCAGCCTCTTTCTCCTTCCCACTGGGCAAGCAAACCTGCTCTGCGTTTTCACCCACCACGGGACTGGGCCGGGCTGGCCCCCGGCACCGGCAGAGTCCGATACAGCTGAGGGGCAGCGCCAGGAGCTGGCTGGGGGGGGTGGTCCGGAGCATGGGCACTCTCAGGCTGGTGCAGGCGGACTCCAGCTGCCAGGCGACCAGGACTGGTACCCGGAGGAGCACAGGGGGTGAGAGCGGCAAGGGAGACAGCATTGAGCAGCCACCCTGGCCTAGCCACCACCTACAAGCCATGGCCCTCCTCACCCAGGAGCGGGCTCTGGCCCTGTTCTCCCCTAAAATTCCCTGTCCTGGTGGACTTAGACTCCTAGTCTTCATGCCCACACCGTGCTGCTGTGCCTCCGACCACCCCAGAAGCAGCTGCATTTCAGGGTGTTTACAGGTAGGGACAGTTACAGCGGAGCCTGGCGTTTGCTTTTTACACCCCCCACCCCCAAGAGCCCTTTGCCCAACAAAGCACGTAGACAAGTAATTAACCCTCGGGGCAGCTCCCAGCCAGGCCCAGGGGAGGGGAGGGGGCCAGGGCGAGGGAGCAGTAGGACCAGGGCAGCTCCCAGCCAGGCCCAGGGGAGGGGAGGGGGCCAGGGGGAGGGAGCAGTAGGACCAGGGCAGCTCCCAGCCAGGCCCAGGGGAGGGGAGGGGGCCAGGGGGAGGGAGCAGTAGGACCAGGACTCGGAGTGGGGAGGGGAAACGGCATTGGGGTCTGGCTCAGCCAGGCCCAAGCCCAGCGCTCCAGGCTTCCCTTCTCTCTCACCCTGGCACTGGGCTCCCCCACTGCACCCCAAGGGGCTGGCCAGGGGCAGGGAGGCTCCCCGTAGGTACCGTGCGGTGCCTGCACCTCATCACCTGTCGCACCCCTTGCACAGGCCGTGCTGGGACCCATCGTCTGCCTCGTGCTGGTAGCATCACAGCTGGGAGGGAACCCTGCTGGGGCCCTGGCGGGGGGCACTTAGTACACAGCCCCCCACCAGGAAGAACGGGGGCCAGAAAATGCCGCCCTCGCCGCTAACCCTGCCTAGTGAGCACCCCGTCCCCTCCCTACAGGCTGGGGGCTAGTGGGGATGGGGCAGCCTGTCCTTCCCCCCTCAAGGCCCATAGCCCAGCCTGGTGCCGGAGGGGAGCCAGCCCCGAATGCTGGCTCCAACCCTGTGCCCCCAGCCTGCTGTGCCACCTCTGGGGAGACCCCCCCACACTCCAGAGGGGAACTGGGGCATCTCCGGTTGACTGGGGGGAGGGGCCCCAAGGGCTAATCAGGATTTGGGGGGAACATCAGAAATTCCCTCCCCCCAGCTACCTGGGGTGGGAGGGGCCCTGGGAGGCGAGTGATGCAACTGCCCTGCAACCAGCGAGGCTGGCACAAGGGGTGCCGCAGGTTTGTGCCTGGAGCCACGGGGGGCAGCCCTGGCACCCTCAGCCCCCCTCCTCACCCTGCGTCCACAGCCCTAGGGCGGGGTGGGGGGGGGGTGGGGGGCTGCTGTCCATCTGTCTGTCCAGACCCCTGAGACAGCAGCTCCCTGGGCCGTGCGGGGCCCTCCACCCTCAGTCCCACTCTTCACGTGGGATGCCAGTGACCCCAGGAGAGGGGGGCTGCGCTGCTGTGGGGCAGAGGGGGGAGACAGGGTGCTCGGGGCCTGGGCTATGCGAATAGACCCTGACCGGGGAGCCCTTCTCCCTGCCCCATCCAACCCCATGCCTGCTCTGCCGCCGAGGGGAACCAAGCCCTACAAGCACGGCCAGGATAATGGCTCTGGGCACCAGGGCCTGGAGTCTCAGGCCGCAGCCCAGAGCCCGCACCCCCTGCCTGGCCCCCACCCCCCAGGCGTACCTGCTCCTGTGGCAAACCCCAAACCCAGCCTGCACCCTGCAAAGGCCGGGACATCACAAGTGGGGCCTGATCTTGTGAGGCAGCGCCCTCAGCTCCTCCCGACACCCCGAGAGCTGCCAGGGGGCCAAGCAGAAAGGGGGCTGGCTTGGCCGAGGCAGGGCCACCATGGCAACCAGCGGTTGATTATAATCGTGCCCCTCGCAGGCCCAGTGATTTGCCCTTCCACGGCGACCAGCCCACGTCATGCCCCTGACCCGCACCCCCGCTGACCCTGGCTCCAACCTTCACCCCCTGAGCCGTGTCCACTGGCACCTGCTCTCCCCTTTCGCCGCCTGCCTGGCGTCTGACCCGGCTCCACTGCCCAACAGCCGCTGCACCCCGCTCAGAGGCGGCTGCCTTTCAGTGCTGGGCGAGCCGTGCCCCTGGACAGCCGTCGATCAGTTCGCTGGGCTGGTGCCAGATCCTCGCCCTTCGGGGCGTCTCTCTCCCGTGCTCCGGTACCACAGCTGGAATCGCTGACGCCCCAGCAGCCCTTCGACGTCTGCATGGCGAGACTGGGCCCAACGCCCCCTTTCTCGCCTGCCCTGCGCGTGGGGGGCAGCCCCGGGGCCAGTCACCATCTGTGGCACCCGCCCACAGCTCTGAAGGGGAAGGGCCCATCCCCCAGGGGCAAAGCGGCCAGCCCGACTCCCAACACCAGGTCTGGAGCGGGCAGAGGGGATCCGTTAGATTCATACCGAGTCCATCATGGCCCCCCATGCACCAGCGACAAACGCGGCCCCAGCAGGCTCCTTCGGGGTGCCGGTTTGAACTCAGGCCTGGGGGCCAGTGGGACTGAACCCCCCATCCGTCCCGGGCTGCTCAGGGGCTTGTGAAACCTGGGAGGGCACATGGGGGGTGCTGCTCTCAGCCCCTTCCACGGCACTCAGCGCCCTGGGGACTGACTCCTGCCCCCCCCGGCAGGAGCTGCAGGGCTCCGTTCCTGACCCCCAGCAGCTGGTGGGTGGGCAGGGAGGGGACGGGAACCACGCATGAATCCAGCCCCGCTCTTAACCTTTTATTGGCAGTTTGAAGGGAGACCAAGGCAGACAATAAACAACTGGATTCACAATAACTTATATAAATAAAACAAAGTGGGAGGGCGGCGTCATTGAATAAAAAACCCAACCGGAAGGCGAGAAAGGGGAGTGGGGCTGTCCACGGCCATAGCACCATTGGAGAGAGCCAGGCGAGGGGCACACGGCCAGGGGAGGCAGCGGGACCGGGAGCCAAGGGCAACCCCGACCCAAACACAAAAGACAAGGGGCGGGAGCAGCTCCGGGACCCAGCTGGGGTCAGCTCATGGGGTCTGCCCCCCAGCACCAGTGGAGAGGAACGGCCCCGCCAGGGAGCAGGCAGGGCTGGGCTAGTGAGTGGGGGGACCCCAACCTGGCACTGAGGGGCCGGGGGGTCGGGGGACACAGCCGGGGGTGCTGCTGAGAGGAGAACGCGACTCCAGTAACTCGGGCCGGCTAGAAACCCCTGCGCTCCAGCCACTCACACCTGGGGCCTTAGCACTCCTGGTTTCTACAGCAGCGACTCACTCCACGCCCCTGCACCTACCAACGCAGGCCCATAGCTGGTGCATCAGAGGAAGGAAATCTCCCCCTTCCCCATAACGAGCCTGTGGAACTCACTGCCACAAGAGATTGAGGTGTAGGCGTTAAAAAGGACTGGACATTCAATGCAGCAAGAACAAGAGACCATCTAGTTACCTGAGAAGGGCAAAGCGACCCCTGCCGTACAGACTGGCCAGGCCCTAGCCAGCAGAAGAGACCCCTCCCCCCCGCAGGGCGGCTTGCCCCTTCCTCGGCAGTGGCTGGGTCCGGGCCCTGCTGGAGACTGCACCAGAGGGGCCCCTGGTCCAATCCAGGCAGGCGATCCCCATGCGCCCCAGGGGACCCACGTGGGGAGGGCTCCATGCGGACGTCCCCGGAGCGGAGACGATGGCGCAGACAGGCCCTGCGACACTGCACCAGCCTCTGGGGATGAGCCTGGGGGGAGCTGGGAGCTGCGTCCAGGGCGAGGCGGCTGTTCCGGCCCGCTTGGTAAGGGGTCCGGGGTGGAAGATGTGGTGGTGGCCCCCAGCCGTGGCTCCTCTGTTGGGGGGGGGTGGGAGGGCGCGTGGTTTGAGACACCTTGGCAGGATTCTGTGGCCCCCGGTGCCAGCAATGGGCTCTGACCGGCCCCAGTGCCAAGCGCCACGGGCTCCTGAGGGGTCGGGGGAAGCACAGGGGGGCCCCAGGCAGCGCCTTCCTCCTCCAGCACCAGCTGATCCCTCCTCCCGCGAAGGGGGGCTCCAGGGGCACCCTTTAACCTTGGCTCCCGCAGGAGGAGAGGCTGTCGTACAGCGAGTCACTGAGCGATTCCGAGTTCTCCAGGCCCGGCTGGCCCTGCCCCGTGTCTCTGGACTTCAGCTCCAGGCTGCCTTCCTCGCCCACGTCAGAGGCACTGGGCGTCCGGCTGGCGCTGAACGCCGGTGGGGAGGGGGGCGGCAGGCGGGGCCCATCTGAGGAGGCTCTTTTCCTCTCGGCGGTGCTGCGTGCGGAGCTCTGCAGGGACAGACGCGGGCGTGAGAGATCCGTGCGGCAGGGGTCATCTTCCTGCTCAGCCCCCCCCCGGCAGACGCCGCTCAGGGACCGGGAGCAGAACAACCCGGCTGGCTGGGGGGTCCCTACACGTCGGCACGGCCCTGCCTGCAGACAGGCCTGGATCGCAGAATGGTGGGGCCCGGGCAGTATGGAAATTGGGGTTCCCCCCTTCTGTAAACTGGACAGCAAAGTACCCCCGCCCCACCACACACACACACCCCACACAGACCCCAGGATGACCCTTCTACCCCACAGCCCCAGTGCGCCTCCCATCCCACCCTGCACACAGCTCCCCAAATGTCCCCTCCCGTCCTGCGCAATACCCAGATAGACCTCCCAAATGCCCCCTACCCCACATAGTCCCCAACCACCAACCCACACATCCCAGCAGCCCCGACATCCCTCCCGCTCACTGCAGCCCCCCAACATCTCAGTCCCCCTCGCACCCCTCGCTGACTCCCGGGCTCCTCCTGGCCCCAGCCCCACTCCACATGCTCGGCACTCACACTGTGCAGCCGCCCCCTGGCATGGTGGGGGCTGGGGGGAGGGGGCGGGTTGCGCCGCAGAGCCGCTGAGTCTGGGGTTCCCCCGCACTCGTTGGGGGCCCCGTGCAAGGGACCTGAGTGCACGTTGGTTAATCCTGGCTGGCCGCCAAACGGCCCTGCAGCTCCCTGCACGTGTGCCAAGCTGCCATCTGCTCCGCACAGACCCTGCTGCTCCCAGGGCAGCGTGCCCAAGAGCCCAATCCCCAGCCCTCATCCCTGCCAGCTGCTGCTGCCTCCACCCCAGAAGTGGCTGCATCTCAGTGGGGCCAAGGGGCCTCCCACAGTGACTTTCTTTTGGATCCTGTCTCAGGAGAGGAGCAGGAGTGAAATTCCGTCCCCCATGGTGCCGACGCCGACGGGATCGAGGCCAAATCCTGCCTGTGACTGGGCGCCCCCTGCACCGCCCAGCGCCACTGCACGAGGTCACAGGGTGCCCTGGCCACGTCCAGCCCTGCGCAGCTCAATATAAATAAATCAATTAATGGAGATATCCCATCTCCGAGAACTGGAAGGGACCTCGAAAGGTCATAGAGTCCAGCCCCCTGCCTTCACTAGCAGGGCCAAGTACTGATTTTTGCCCCAGATCCCCAAGTGGCCCCCTCAAGGATTGAACTCACAACCCTGGGTTTAGCAGGCCAATGCTCAAACCACTGAGCTATCCCTCCCCCCAATGAACACACCCACCCACCCCTCCCCCGGCTTCCCATCGCAGCCCAGCCCCCCACTCTTCCCCCCATGGCAGCCCAGCCCCTCTCCCCGCCTCCCATCTCAGCCCAGCCCCCACTCCTCTCCCCCATGGCAGCCCAGCCCCTCTCCCCACCTCCCAGGGCAGCCCAGCCCCCACTCCTCTCCCCCATGGCAGCCCAGCCCCTCTCCCCACCTCCCAGGGCAG